ACATAAGAGAGGTCCCAGTCTCCTGATTACAGGTCAGTGTACCATGAAAAGGATTCTAAAGCTGTGATTTTGGGATAAAGTGCTGCATAATGTTGCTTTAAATAAGTAATCCTTGTAGTTCCTGGGAGGGAGGAAGGAAAGAAGGAAGGAAGGAAGGAGGGAAGGAGGGAAGTAATTACGTAAGAAAGAAAGGAGAGAAGTAAGTAAGTAGGGAAGGAGGGAAGCACGTAAGCAAGGAAGTAAGTAAGTACCTACCTACCTACCAACCTACCTCGCTCCCTACCTCGCTCCCTACCTCGCTCCCTACCTTCCTCCCTCCCTCCCTCCCTCCCTCCATACCTACCTACCTACCTACCTACCTACCTACCTACCTACCTACCTACCTACCTACCTACTTCCCTACCTCCCTCCCTTTCTACCTCCCTTCCTACCTCCCTTCCTACCTACCTCTACCTACCTTGGATTAAATTACATGAAAAAAGCAAAACACAGGTGTGTTATTTAAGGTCTCATTACGATGATAAATGAAGTACTGTAATAAAAACACTAGTGACACACGTTCTCCTGCAGACATTTTAGTCGCTGCCTAATGACGTGTGATAATCTTGGTTTTAGTCTCATGTTATTTTAATACTAAATTCTCACAGACTGTCCCGTTCTGCTGTTCACTGATAAAGCACAAAGAGGTCTAGAGAGACTCTAAATGAACTCATGATGCCAACAATGCTTTGTCTGGTGAATGCTGTCCTTACCTGCTGCTGAACCAAAGGTGGGCCGGCCTGTCTTGCATGCTGCTGGGACATCTGTGAGGCGATGCGCATCTGTTGCTGTATCTGCTGCTGGTGCTGCTGCTGCTGTTGCTGCTGCTTCTGCTGTGCATAAGCCGCCTGCTGCATGTGCTGCAACCGGAGCTGGGCGAGATTGATTTGTCCTGGGTGTTTGCTTGGGTGACCCTGTCCCGGTGAAATGGCCGGTCCTCCTACGATCACATTAGGCGGCTGTGCAGGTGGAGGCGGTTTCTCAATTACTAAATTGCCTACAACGGGAAGAAAATGGACGTCAGAGAGTGTAATTTAAAGATGTGAACGTGTTGTAGGCAGTTGTGAAATATTAATTTACTGCATTTATTCAGCAGGTGCAGCATTTTGTAGAAATAAAAATGTAAAAGAAAAAATGTCAAATGTTTCCTGTTTCCTAAATGTCCATATTTAACACAGGAAATGCTGAGTGATGAAGGATAACGAGGGAATAAACGTCATCTCTCACCTAGATTCACTACATTCTTGGCCCAAAAGGTGGGGTCACAGAAGAAGCGCACCACTCCATTGGCCTGCGGCGCTGGCTCCAGTCTGGCCTTGAAAAGCTGGCGAAGCTGGAACAGAATCTACAGAGAGAAGAATGTTTTTTACTTACTGAACCCAGCTCTATTAGAGGCACATTTGTCAACATGCTTTTGGTAGCATTACTTCACAAGTGCACAAGAAAGTTCAGGGCTCGTTTGCAGTCTCTTGTTGGAGGAAAACTATCCTGTCCACAGAAAGTGGGGAGAAAATCCAGTTCTGCAACTTCACCAATCTGGAAAAGGCTTGGCCAGCAGAATACTCCAAGCATAATGTTGTGTTCCTAGACCTTCATGCAGACATGCAACACCCTATTAGATAGTTTATTGTAGTTCAAATCTGGTTATGATCTCTGCATCCCAAATATGTTTCGAGGCAGCGACAACTCAAATGTTCCTAAAAGCAAAAAATTTAAGAATTTTGTCTGATTCTTCTCATGTACAACACAGTGCTGGGATCTTTTCAAGGTAAATCTCAAAAAACAATCATGCTATCTGTGACATAAGTTAGGTTTTGTTCAAAGCAAACTCTCAGCTTTGGCTTCCTTGGCACCATTTATCAAAACACTTCATTATAGAGACTGGAACATAACATTAGACTTTTAAAAAAATGCACTGGACTGATTTTAGTCACATTTATCAGACAGTTCCTAGTTAGGTTGTCTAAATGAAGACTGCTCCATGCACAACAAGTCTTGGATTTGTACAGAGTATAGTAGCACCGGTACTTTTAAACCCCGTTAGGCAACAGAACTTGTAAATACTGCATACATTTCAAATGCCATGAAGATGACACAGCCATATTAATCTATTCAGGCAGGTGAAAAAAAAATCAGTCAGCCAAACTTCAAAAATGTCATAACGACATAAAGGCCTGGATGACCTGTAATATTCAGACAATGCAAAGCATTGCATTTGGCCACAGACGCCTCCGAAACACTATCTAACCAAATGGATGGCTTCAAGCACTACAGCGAAGAACCGTATTATTTCTGACCAGGATATGTTTTTTAACTCCAACATTAAACAAGCCTCTGGTCTCCATATTGTCATCATCACAAACATTCTGTAAATAAACAGTCATTTGTCCAGGATTCCAGGACTCCAGAGTCACTTTGGTTGCACTGATGTGTTTTCCAGTTGGTTCACCAGGACATGATTCAGGTGCACACAAAAACATTCTTTGCACCTTCTGGCACCAGTCTAATTTTAGGCTCTCCCATTTTTTTCAGTTCACAGACCCATCAAATTTCTCAACACATTACGGGGATGATTTTAACGGGGAAAAAAGGTGCAGATACATTTTTAGTAAATACAACTTTCCCTGTGTTGCCTACATCTTAAAGGAGAAGCACATTTTACAGTTACAGCCGTGACTCGATAATCTGACCCTTAACAATCCGAAAACCTTGCTGTCAGACAGGTTTTTAGGAAAAACGAACAGAGCCCTTTGAGAATAGCCTTAGCATGCTGACAGCCTTGGCACAAATCAGGATAACGGCGTATTATCTGACTGAACAATCCCACAGATTGGCTGCGTTCACACTGCAGGACTTAATGCTCAATCCAGATTTTTTTTGTGAAATCCAATTTTTTTGCGAGTTCGTTAAGCTGCCATTAAATGACCTATGATGTAATGTAGCGTTACGTAAATACACATTTTATTGAACTGAGCCGAGTCTCATACCAGCCTCTTGCTGTAGAGCAGCGCCGTGCTGCTGCCAGTCGTGATGGCCCAGTGGCAGAAGTTGAGCACATGGTGGATCTGCTGGGCCAGCTGGGTAGTGTCCTTATGCTGAGCCACCAGCCTCAAACTGCGCTCTTTGGTCACGTTCTAGACGAAAAGGGAGATTATTCAGGTTAAGGAACATCTACTCAAACACTGTGAACAACCCGACAGAATGAATGTGTCTCAGCCAGGCCAAATCTCTATCCAAGCTATTACAAACAAGTTTGCATTAAGATGGATTAGATCCTTAGATTTGATTAGATTCAGATCTAATCATTCCCATGGGGATCTTGGGTTGTTGCAGTATACACAGCAAATGGAAAGCTAATCAAGCATGCACCACTAATCGATTCGACAACAGAAGTACATGTTGATATTTAAGGGGGAAAACCAAAGCATGCTGTTGAAAAGTAGTGAACAATGTGATAAATTCATTAGAAAACACAAACCAATAAAATACAGATATCCAAAAGCTATAAAAACTGAAGAAGTATCGACACACTATGTAAAAAAGGTGCCGTTGGAAGCCTCAGTATGTTCATATGTAAGATCCAGAAGCTAGACATACAAACTACGCACAGCTTTCTGCCAACCACATAATTTCAACCACACAACTTCAGTGACGTCAACACTAACACCATTACTAGTGCTGTCACAGTGAGCCAACAGGAGAGCTCTTATAAATATATGCAACGACCGTTTCGATCCATTTCGTCAAAGCAGTTATCTTTCCAAGCTGATTTTGCAGCACATTACAAAGTTCCTTGCCTGAGTAGCTGTGAATAATATTCTCTTACCTCCAACTGCTGCAACAAGGACTTGCCCTTTTTGTTGATTTCATTTATAAGAGTAAATACTGCAATTTTAATCTCGTGCTCCACCTTCCTGTGCGTCTCGTTCAGCTCTTTTAACCTGGATTTCAAAAAAACAAAAGACAATGCTTCACTTAGAAACACTAGACACCAGTATATTCATTCAGGGACTATGTGAACGGTTAGCAAGGGGAGGAATCTGGTCACGTCAAACTCGCACCTGCTTTGCACCTGAGAGACAGAGTAATGGACATAGTTCTTCTTTTCTTGTAGCTTGGCCATATTGGTCTCAATGATGCCTTTATGGTTCTGGAAAGCCTCTTCCAGAAATTGGTACCTGAGAACAGAAGGATAACACCCGGTCACCAACAATTTTCTGAATCAACAACAACAACAACAAAAACCATAAACAAAAAACAAACATTAGGATGGGGGTGGGGGAACAACTGGGCAAAAATGAATGAAACTGCTATTGAAAATAAAGTTAATTCAAAGTTCACAACAATGCCATATTAGTTGGAAATGCTCAGAAGCGATGTCACCATATCTCTGCAACTGATTTTGAGAACATACTGAAATGAGCTGAAAGTCATGGCTGTCTGTAGGGGGGGAGGCATCCAGTGTCAGAAATACGTCTACAGCAATACATTAAAGTAAAGGCCAACTGTAGTTAATGGCTTAAAGCAAGTGCCCAAAATCTAGTCAGTGGTGAGGAGAAACGTATGGAGGTAAGTGGGGTTCATGAAATGGATGAATGAATGAACTGAAAATCAACAGTCTTGCAAGCTGTGGCCTTCCAAGCCAGGTGGATGATGGCTGGAATGGCAGTTTTTCAGTGTCCTGGTGTTCTTTTATTGCTGTTACTGCACAGGTGGAGCAGAGTGAACCGACGCAGACCAAACACAGAACTTCCAGTCTGTATACTTGCCGTTGTAGTGGATGGTTTATTCGATGATATGCAAATAATGAAAATACAGCGGTTATATATCTGCCCTGGTCTGATGCTGGTCTGGTGAGAACTGTGTGCCCTCCCCCTACCTGTGCCTTCCCCTTCCCGTCACCTGTGCCCTCTACATAAACACCCTGTGTCCAATTATCGCCACCATGTGTCCAAATAATCCACATTAAATCACCTGCCAACAATAAACATAAATGGCTCCTACAACGGCTGTGCTGCATATCTCAGATCTTTCCAGAAAGACAACAACTACAAATCTAACTGCTTCTTCAAAAGGTCAAAACGTCAGAAAAATGCATCATCTACTCACCGTTTTTTAAACTGTATTCTAATAATCGTATCCAAGTCCAAACATATCTTTCAAAGCCTTGAAGAATATCCAATAAACCTAACTTTTCAAAGTTTATTCCTCCGTCGGTCTCTGAACAGCGTACAAGGCAAAATATCCCTACTGTTGTCAAATTAGTCCAAAAGATGGCAACAAAACTAAAAGCTTATTCATTGCTGTACTTTTTTCAAAGTAGTGCAGCCACTGAGCTGACATACTGAGACACGGAGTAGGGAAAAGTAATCAAATAGGTCTACAAATTCTGTAAAAATCCTCTCTCTCATTATTCTGACATTTAGCAAATAGAAATAATGTTGGTAATCCTAACTGTGCTAAAACAGGAGAAGTTTAGTCTGATTTAATGTCAGACAGTGAGAAAACAAAAAAGGTTTTATGTCTTTTTATACAGTGGGTGTAAACATCTGGCTTCAGCTGTGTACATAACGTCACTTTCCAGCAACAGGTACCATAGCGTAAGGTGGCTAGAGTGTTGAGAGGAAATGGCATGGAAAGAAAGCTGGTCGTCAAGCCTCCTCAACATAACATTGTGTCAGCAGTGAAGGTTATGGTGCAGTTTCAGCCCACACCAAACCTGAGTTTGCAAGGCAATCTTGCAGAACATTTGAGGAAGTGGATTCAGCGCTTCTGGCTTTTTTGTAGCACTAGCGGCTGAGTCATCCGAAAAGTCAGAGAAGGTGCAGTGTGTAACCTTTCTTCACGTCGCGGGAAAAGAAGCAATAAAAGTATGAAATAGTTTTGAATTTTGAGACGACTAAAATGACAAGGTAGCAGTGCTGAAAAGGAAGTTATTGTGGTAGTTATTGTGAGCCTAGGAAATTACACACCTTATATAAGGCACACGGTCTTCACAAGAGACCAGAAAACAGAGATGCTTATGTCACGGATTTGAAAAACAAAGCCAAAGATTGTGAACTCTGATAGCAGCATGACTCCCTGGTACTTGACAGAATAGTGTATGGCATAACTAAAAACCAAGTGAGAGGCAGACTGTTGAGAGAAGAAGATTTCACACTCGTAGATATTTTCTGTGCAGGTGAAATTACATCCAGCCAAGTACAAGCACTCACAGAGGAAGCAGAAGTGAACAGGTTACGAATGACCAGGCCAAAAGATAATACAGCTACAGCAAAGACAGGAAAGACCAAACAAACAAAAATAGTTCAGTTGCAGCAGATGTGGCGTTAAACATGGAACAAACAAAAAAAAATGTCCGGCTGTTGGACAAACGTGCAAAAACAACAAAAACAAACATAATTTTGCAAAAGGCGTGCAGGTCAGCAGGCCAGCTGCACCAACATAGACAGAAAGTGAACAGGAAATATGGTCATCGGTACAGTCAACGTGAAGCAGAAGGCACAGAGAGATCAAGTCCGCAGAGACAGAACCTGAGGAAGAAAAATGAACTGACAGACTGAAAATAAATAAAGTGGTAACACTCAAACTGGACATAAATAAAGACTGCAATGCAGTGGCACTGAGAACTTATAATGTGCTTAATGTTAGAGGCCAGCTCAGAACAAGTCGAGTAAAACAAGTACAACAAAATGTGTTGCTTTCTTTGGCCACACGATAATGCCATTAAAATGCCACCACAAGGGCAGAAAGCAGAACACTGAGTCTGAAATCACACAAGAGGACGATCCAGCCATAATAAGCGGTGTTACTTGCCTAAAACTAGGCTCTGAATACAGAATGCATGAAGTTGGCAAAGCGTGGGACATTCTTAAAGACTATGATGATGTGTTCAAGGGACTCGGCTGCTCACCTGGTCTACACCACATAGAGACTGACCACACAGTCACACCCATTGTGCAACTGAGTGACGACATGGCAGACTGAGCCAGCTGAGTGGGTCAACAGTACGGCAACCACAGTCACACACAGAAAAACACTGCATCTGTACAAATACCAAGCAAATAAACAGGAGCACAACCACTGCTCACTGCTGAGGAAGCTATTTCACATTATGTCAACTATAAAATACTTCTTTGTGCCTGATGCAGATCAATCTTAATGACAAGAATTCAAAGCTCACAGATACAGGTTTTCCAGAGGGCTGTCGCACAGATGATTGAGGACGTGGAAGGTGTTGTAAACATCAATGAAGCCTTGATTGTATGGGCAGACTCTGAGGAGGAGCATGACATGGGCTGAAAAGGTTGCTGGACAGAGAGCGGGAGTACAACTTCAAACTTAACAGAAACAAGTCATCACAACAAATAAAATACATCGGACACACACAGTCCAGATGACTTAAAGGTGAGAGCAGTTACACAGCTACCCCCACCACAGCACACACATGAGCTACTGAGGTTTATGGGTTTGATCCAGTATCTCGCCAAGTTCATACCTAACCTGTCAGATATCAGTGCTCCACTAAGGAAGCTGCTTGAAGTTTTGAACACCTCAAACAGCTCGCTATCAAAGCTCCAACACAAACCTATCACAATTTCAGTTTATGCAAGCTTATAAGTCATCAGAGCTGTCACCCTGCAGGATAGACAATCTGCAGCGTATGGGTCAAAACCACCGACTGCCGAGAAAGAGCTGCTCACTATTGTTCACGGCTGTAAAAAAAAATTCACCAGTATGTTTATGGAAAAGACATTCAGGTTGAAAGCAACCACAAGCCTTTGCACCAAGCCCCCACACGGCTACCGACGATGCTCCTTAGGGTGCAAAGATGCAGCCTTAGTGTCACCTGCAGGCCAAGCAAGGAACTACACATTGCAGACGCCTTAAGCCGATCCTTTTTCAAAGAGCAGAAAAAAGATCTGCTGAAGAAAGAGTTGAAGGTGAGCACAGGAACAACTACCTATCAGAGAGATGTTCAAAAAAAAAACACACAGCAGAGGACCGTGAACTACAGCTACTGGAACACACGACACTGTCAGGATGGCCAGATGAGAGAATTTAGGGATTTAGACATTTAGGGATGAGATCACATACACATCTGGACTGATGTTTAAAGCAGCAAAGCTCACTCTTCCACATCAGCTGAGTCAAGAAATGCTCAACAAAATCCCCGAGTCACACTTGGGGATTGTTAAGCGCGAAGAAAGAGCCAGAGACATTTGGTGTTTGCCAAACACGTCTTCACACATTGAGGAGATGGTGTCTCAATATGCCATTTGTAAGGAGAACCGAAGCAATAACCCAAGAGCTGTTACTACCAAACCCAGGACTGAACAGACCGTGGCAGAAAGTCGGGACCAACCTCTTCCACTACAGAGGATCTGAGTTTCTGCTTTGCGTGGATTACTTCTCAAAGTACCCAGAATTAACCAAACAGTAACCGATCTGATATCCTCCTCTCAGCTAATAATAATAATAAACTTTACTTATATAGCACTTTTCAGAACAGGGTTAGAAAGTGCTTTACAGATTCAAAGAGAAGTGTAAGGAAAACATCAAATAAGGACATTAAAAGAAGTAAAAAGCAAATTTAAAAATGGTGAAGGTGAAACACATAAAGCATGAAAGACAATAAAACAACCTAAAAATATATAAGAAGAATAAAACCCAGTAAAAGAAGACAATAGAGGAAGGAATAAAACAGTCAGAAGATTAAATGTACTGCCCTTGATACTGAGTAAACGTACACTCATAAAACAACTCCTGTAAATGCACATCTGTAAAAACGTGTTTTTAAAAGAGTTTTAAAGGAGGATGAAGTGCCTGCAGATCTGATCTCTGTTCCATAGGGTGGGGGCTCTTACAGAACAGGCCCGGTCACCTTTGGTCCTCAGCCTATTAGTCCTCAGTATGCCAGTGCTGAGTTCAAAGACTTTGCAGAAACCTGGGAATTCAAGCACATCACATCTAGTCCTGGTGACCCTCAGTCTAATGGACCTACAGAGACAGACAACCAAGCACACTCACATTCACACCTACGGACAATTTACAATCACCAATTAACCTCAGCATGTTT